ATTCTTACGACGTGCCCAGCCCACCGTAGTCGCCCAATTTTTGCAATGTGGACGATGGATGGTTCTCCCAGCAGCTAGTGCAATTCATGGTCCATTCACCTCCTCCACGTTCCGTCATCCATCTGCACTCCACTGTGGATGTTACGCAACACCTTCCGTTCGAAAACACCAAGGGGGCGTTGGTCCTCCACTAGCATAGTCCAGGTCTCGTGGCCGTAGAGGACCACCGGTCTAATCAACGTCTTGTAGACAGTCAAATTCGTGCGGCGGCGAATTTTTTTTCGACTGGAGCGTCCTCCGGAGTCCAAAGTAGGCACGATTCCCTGCCATAATGCGTCTTTGAATTTCTCTGCTGGTATCATTTTCGGCGGTCACCACTGAGCCCAAATACACGAACTCATCGACCACCTCGATGTCGTCACCGTCAATCTGAACTCGGGGTGGGAGGCTAACATTGTCTTCCCTAGAACCTCTTCCTTTCATGTATTTTGTCTTCGATGCGTTGATTCAAATCCCATGAACACCCCTTAAAAAAACTTGTGACGACTCTTTTCGCTTTAAAAAAAAGTAGGCGACCCTATTTTAAATCTTTTAACAATCAAAATGATCTACAGACCCTAGGAATTCTAGAGGTTCCACAATTTTTGAAATTCATCAAGAAATAGTTATGTTATGTCATTGCAAACTTGCCGTTACACGTTTTTCGGAGGCTTCGTAGTCGTCGTAAAGTTTTTACCCACCGTATTCGGAGTGTTGAATGTATATCAGCCTTATATTGCAACTCATATATCTTGGAACGTTTCATATCTATGTTAGGCCTTCTCTCGTATCGTCTACGTATTCATTCCTATTTCAACTGAATTGATTTCGTCTACAATAGCTATGGAGTAGTTCCACGCCAAATGACGAATCGATCAGACTCGATCTTCTCCGATTTGCATGAAACTTTGTATGATTGTTCATTATGGTCAATTATTCAAATTTGTGCAAAAATTTGGCCATATTAGATCTTTTTTTTTCAAATGGCGTATTTGACGGTAAATGTATTTGAGTAGCTTGGATTAAAAGTTCCAAAATAGTGATAAGACTTAAATGTTTCAAAATGATCTTTTCCATAATTTATAATTTTTTTTAAAGAAAACAGCTCATGAAAAATACATTTTTTTATAAATATTAAAACTATTGAACGCTTAAAATTCGTAGAAAATGAACTTTTGGTATTATTTAACTTTTTGTTGGTACATGTTTTATGTAATTTCCGTAAATATTGCACAAGAAAAAAAGTTAATAAAAATTGATCAAAAGTTCTTATTTTACAATTTCTGCAAATTTTTAATGGTTCAAGGTTTTCAATATTCCAAAGTTTGTATTTATTATAAGCTTTATTTTCTTAGTTACGAATTTTGAACAAGGTAATTTTGAGAGATTTAAGCTTTCATCACTTTTTTAGATTTTTTTTTTATTCGAAAGTACTTAAATAAATTTACTGTGTTTATTTTTCCTAGAAACACTTTGTTTTTCTCTACTACTTTGACTCTGACGTCATTTTAATTAGAAGTGACGTTTTGATGCTAAAATTTATTAAAAATGTGAAATAAGCTATTTTGAAAAAAAATAACCAAGATCTAAAATGGCCGAATATTAGCACAAATGTTAATAATTGTCCAAAACACAAAATAATTCAAAGTTTCATACAAATCGGAGAAGTTCGAGTTAAAATTTCTATTTTTTGCTATTTGGCCTTGAACTGCTCTATAGCTCTGTCACCGAAATGACCTTTACCGAGCAAAAGCTTTGACAAACACCTTGTACTCGGTCCTATATCTGCGTCTGTCTGCCTTCCCTCGAAAGAAGAAATCCAATTTCCCGGTAAAAATAGCCAAAAACCGAAATTGGTTCATTCCATCGTGTCTTCGGGGAAGTCAAATAACCTATTCTGGTATTCGAGAGCGACGACTTTGAACCCAAACGTGCCTGTGGTGAGGAGAACACAAGTGGTTTTTTGTTTTGTTCTGGGTCAACTGCAAGCAGTCTAGAGGTCGTCTTCTCTAAATAAAAAAAAAAAACCGCAGAAATACAGCGAATGAACGAATTAAATATTTAACCAACGGTGTGTGTGCACGCGAAACCTTCGCCATCATCGTCATCAAGTCATAATCCCCCTGAACCCCCCCGAAATATGGGTGCACGACCTTCATCAGACATTCCGAATTTGCTAAATCATCACGCTTTGCGCGAAGAGGAGAAGTATCAAATTCTACTCTCAATCTATATTCGCACCAATACACTGCTGTGCACAAAAAGGTACCTATAGTGGAAAAAAACGGGAGTGTGGGAGCACTCGAAGCGAGTTGAGTAGATTGCGAATCCTTATCACCAGCAGTAACAGCAGCAGCACCAGTACACACATTGTCAACACAGTTATACCCAGCCGTCATCATCACAAGCTTACACCGCAGGCAACTCATCCCTCCTCAGAGCGGTAACGGCAGCAACACAATAACAGCACAGGGACGCGATAGTGGCAGAAGCACGAAGTGTGGCATCAGTAGCACCAGCAATGCTTCAAGGTCTTCCGTTCAGTGACTCCTCCTGCTGCCTTTACTGCTTCTGATGGGTTCACCACCGCAGCGCACATTGACGTTTTGTTCTATCAAGGAGCATTAGCTGATCCTAGACGACGACACATTTAAGAAGCTGTCACCCTCTGAACTCGAACGGATATCGCCCCGTGCGACCTTGCTAATTTTTCGGGGAAGACAAATCGATACTGAATCCCCCCCCCCCCCCCTCTTTGCTCGTCGTGACCCACGATGCGGAGACGGATACATTGGTGGCGCGTGTACCTATCGGGCAAATGTACCCATTTGCGATTGGGTGGTGGTCATTTACAGCATTGCTAGACCCTAGGGACGGATCGGTGCGGAGCGGGTTAACGGAAGGGACGGCAACGACCGACGCAACGGGTGATAAAATGTTTCAAAATAGAACAGGAATTAGTGCGAATTTGCAGTAAAGCAAATACAGCGAAACAAGCATTGGGAAGTTTGAGTAAGTCACCTAGCAGTCAATCACCTGTTGTTGTCTTAGGACGCGATACAAGAACACGGCCAGCGGCGGCGGCGGCGGTGGCGGTGATTGATTGATGGTCGATGCGATAGCAATGAGGGGTGTCAGAACGTTTAAAATTAATCCATATGTAACGACGACGACGACGACGAAAACGATGATGATGATGATGATGATGATGATGATGGGGGAGTTGGAATGGGGGTGTTCAGGCGAAGTAGGAGATAAATTGACAAATTACCGAGAACGTGAACGGTTCGAGAGAACGTACATTTTCATGATAATAAGCGAGATTTGAGAGCCAGAGAGAAGGAGAGCGGATGCCGCACATTGTGCAGGAACGATGGTGAGCATGCGAGAGAAGAATGCGTACAAGAAGCGTGCGGCAGTATGAGAATAGAGAGTGAGCGGGAGCATAAGAGCATGCGAGAGGGAGAGAGGATTTGGTCAGAGCTTGACGGTTACAGGCCAACGCAAACCTGCTCAGCGCCAACTAGAGGCAGTCTTGAGGTGTTGGTGTGCGCGCTTCGACATACAATACTCTGTGCACTAGTTGGGGCCCCGTTTTCTCGGTCGGTTCTCGGCATTTTTTGGGGTGACTTCCTCTTCAGGTTTTTACCAGAGTATTATTTTCTTTATCAAAAAATTGTGTGCGGTGCGGTTGACGGTTTGAGATCTCGGTTTTCGCAAGACAGTTTCTGCAGCCGTCAGGAGCGTGTGGACGGTTCAACGGGTTGAACAGACGAGAGCCTCGGTTATAGTGTGACGTGTTTGGTAAACTGGCAGGCACTGGCACTGGTGCATGGTAGAGTGTGGATAGTGTTTTCGAAAAATACTTGCGGTGAAAAGAGTGATTTCTCGGGAAAGTACAGTGCGGTGCGGTGTTTTGTGTTTGGTTTCGCCCGAAGAGGAAATATTATATGCTGTAGCCCCCTTTTCAGCGAGTTTCTGTGTCGTTTAATAAGGGTCACCACCAACAACGGCAATCACCAGTGGTTTGAGTAGTTGGAAAACAGTGAAACCGTGTCAGAGAAGTGAAGGAAGACGAGAGAAGGAGAAGAAGAGAAGGCACAAAAGAGAGAGAGAGTGTGTGTGTGTAAGATACAGTGAAACCGGGTGAACAGAAGAAGACAGTGATAGATGGCAAGAGCTTAATTCACGCACGGATTCACAAGTTCTCAGCACATGTCGTCGCAGTGTTGTTGTGGATCGCACGTGTTGTCGCAACTGTTGTCTAGATGACGTCCGCTGACGATTCCAGTTGGCTTAGCTATTACACTGTGAGGTACGGAGAACTAACTAATCACGAGTCACAAAATCGACGAGGGTTCAAGGCCGTTGACCTGATTCATTGAAACACCAACCTAGAATGCTACAAAGGCACTTTTCTGAATCGTTCTACCAGCCAAGGCCCTCCCTCTCTAAACGTTAATAAATTATTTCGGGCTGCTCTCGCAACCTTGGTTTCGTTTCCAATGCAAACAGCCTTCAACTCTTGGAAATCAATAAAAATGATTTCGACTGTTGTATATCTACCTTCCTCTCAGACGCAGAGAGCAGTATGAATGTGGAAACGAAACGAACCCAGAAGGACAGGGCAAAACATTAACAAATCGCTTCTCTTTTTTTTCGGTCGGTGGGTCGGACGATGATCCTTTTCCTCGTCTCTCGCTTTTGACCCGGAAAGCAGCTGTCGGTTTGTTCCTTGAATTTTGAAAAGTCTGTCAATAAACGATTAGCCACGGTGATCTTTTCTGGTGGTCCCGTGCGCGCAAGCATTCGAGGGAGGTCTCGGCTGCGTTGTCCTACGTAAACCTTCCCTAATATATTCCCCGTCTCTTGCTCTCCATAGGGGGTACTCCCTACGCATCGCACTTTTCATGAATCAAATCACTAACCTATTTCATTTGCCCCTTTCTTCTCACTTTCAGATTGCCGGTAGTGAGTGACTGTCCGGCAGGGCAGACGGCTAGAGTCACCTCCAACCTGCACTCTTCCAGCAGCACAATGGCGGTCAGTCGAGTGCCATCACCCCCTCTGCCAGAGGTCAACACACCGGTTGCGGAAAATTGGTGTTACACTCAGGTAAGTCCAGCGTCGTCGCCGTCAAAACATGGAGCAAGCATTTCTGATGGTTGGAAAGGGGGGATAGCGGGGAGCAACTGCCTCGACACAGTCGTTGATCCGACCTGTTTTGCACATTTTGAAAAGGAGTTTTCGCATTCAAGGAAGAACATCGCACCCCAAAGTCATGGGCCTTAAACTCGCTTGCACTTAACATCACAAAAAAACAACAACAGCAACATCAAAAAAGCAAAGAACAAACTATACACATATAGTGTGTTGTGGTACGCGGCTGGCGGCTGGCAAGTTCCGCACTCTCGCACACATCATTACGTGCGTTGACCTCGCCGTCGTCGTCGCCGCCGCCACTTCCTCCACTTCTGTGCTTCGCAGCTCGACTCTCTGCTCTTTGGTGCTCCTTCTTGTTGCTCTTCGCACGTTGTTGTATGTTCTACACTGCCATCCCCTTCCCTCGTCTTCAACACGCAGCGTTCATATCTCGCACGCAGCCAGAGTAGGTAGACTCCTTCGTCGAGTCATCGCACTGACTGTCAACTGCGCGCTGTGCTGTTGAAAAGCGCTGCAGTTTACCCCATGCTTACACGTCCGTCCGTAGCTCGTAATTCCCGGTAATATTGCTATTATTTATATTCCACGCATTGGGACTGCCGCGGCCAGGTTACAACGACAACTTGGAAGTGACAACGCGAAGCGATGCGGCCTATTTGGGGTAGATCAAAGCCGGCTGGACATCCCACCGATTTACCATCACTTCTTGAACGATCCAAAGCAGGGATTGAGCTCGACAGAGAGCTAATGCGAAACAAGTTCTTTCCCCTCTGGCACAGTGCTCGCCCCTGGTTCAGGTTGGTTGGAGTCACGCTCCGGGAACTGGTTGCCTGGCTGCCAGTCGAGGAGCGAGCGAGCGGGTTGAGACCTCATTAAGTCAATCATTTTAGCACACAGCTTTCACGTTTGGAGTCTAAGCGAGCCTCGCCGTCGCCGCCGTCGTCGCGGAGAAATTATTACGCACATGAATGTGCGTGCGGAGATTTCTTCGAAAATCTGCCATGGAAGATCGATGAGAGCACTCTAATAAATTGATTCCTGTGGGGAAAAGCAATTCGGTGTCATCGAATGAACTCGTGAGTGATGAAGCTTCATAACTCCGTTTGACCTAAAAATACTTTTGAAAATCCGTTGGAACTCGCTGGGAGAGAAGAATGAAAATTGTGGATTTCTAGTGTCGGGCCCTTGACCAGTTTGCATAATTCTTGAATAACGGTAATAACTGTTGGAGCTAACCTGGGTACTGTGGACTGAATCGATTTTATTTTGAATGCCTATCGAAAACTGCCTGAGCATGTTCTCAAGTAGCAAATTGTGGTAATAAAACAAATTAAGGTTTTGAAGGAGTTTCTTGGTCGATTTGATGATTTTCAGGGTGTCTACTACCTGGAAAAACATAGAAAATTATTATCGTTTCTAAGGAAATTTTTGGCGATTTCTAAGTTATTTGGGATGTTTTAGGCTGTTTTCGTGTTTTTTAAAAAAAGATCTAGCGTTTTCAGTAAGCGAGAGTTTTAGCCATTTTAACGTTTTGAGGAATTTCCGGCGTTTTAAGGGGTTGTCATGTCGTTTTGGCGTCGTTGTTATGCAATCAAAATTTCCTTGGTCTCAAGTTATTATTAAATGTCGGTTAACGTCGTGTCAAATTCATTCCTGTTTTGTGCCTGAAAATAATTGATCCTTAATTCCAAAATCGTCCGCTAGATGGTTCTAGTATGTTCAATAACTTTGCCGCTAAAATCTGCTACTATCCAGCAACGTGAACCGCTAAATTCTTATTCACTTCACTTGGCACTATAAATTCAAACTCCCTCACTCGTCGACATCGATTGGCACAGTACTCTTTTAATCTCGCTCAATTAAATTAGCCTTGCACGCCTCCTCTCGCTAATGAACGCTAATGCGGAGCAACCATGTAGTAGCGGTACCTACGTAGGGTACCGTCGATGTGTGTACAATAATCTACCAGAAAAGAACAACCGAGCGAAACCATAGAGTTCATGGTCACCGGGCTCTCTTCAATAATTCCTGGCAGAATTCAGTCGGTTCAACTATTTCAGCGCGAATACACATTCATTCCATTTCCCAAGCGTGTGTGACCCTCTTCGTCGGAACCTACCTCTGTTTGTTGTTGTTGCTGGTCTACGTCTGTAACAACCCGGATCGATGGGCACGTATTTAGTAAATGTTTCCATTTCGACCGTTTTTCGCTCCTTCTGCCTCGTTCTATTTGCTCAGGTTGGCACACTGTTGTTCGAAAGTTTTCGGACACTTTTCAATAACTTTGGATGTTTTAGGTCCCTTTTAGTAGGAGTTGTAAATCTAAGATTATCCTTAAATTTTCTTTGATTCATTTAATTTTAACGTTCTGGCGTTATTTTGATTGTATAGCCAAACTCAATTTTCAGGCAGTTTCTCGTGATTAAGCAGCATTATTATTTGTTACAATTCATATGACATCAACAGTGGTCAAAATTGTTAAAAACCGATTCTACACCATTAAAACTACACTGACAAAAAATTTCACGTTCAATCCAATACATTTTTCGCCTAAAGCTCGAACAAATGTACCCACAAATTCACCCCGCTGTGTCCAGCAAACCCCCACGCTAGGAATATTGGGTTCCCTCTTCCCGATGTTCCCATCATTCCCTCCTTAACATCTTGAGCATATACAGTCAGTGTTTGTCGTTTCGTTTCGATCAAACGCTGTTCATTCCTCCTCTCAGTCAGACTTTTTCGCAACCGACGTAATCACACTCAAAAAATTATCCGGAGAAACTCTCGAGAATAGCTTACCTCGTAACTTACGCACTCCCCTTTGGGCTGGGGCGCTTTTTGCTTTCTTTGTGTGCGCTCGTTCTTCTTGGCCGGACGGAGCACAAATCCCCCCGAATCTTTTCGGTGTTCGGTCGGTTGGGAAAACGATTTTCTTTTTCCTTATTCCAGAACAATAACCAGCAACACCTTGAGTCGAGAATGAAGACGATGACGATGCGATTGGAGGGAGGTAGGGAGGGAGAGAAAATAGAGAGAGAGAGATAGCGCAAAAACGACGAATAAAATGTAAGGGCGCAGGGGTTATTGACACCCGGCAACGACGATGACGACGACTGCCATCAGGCACACAATAATAAAATAAAATGATATTTAGCTGAAACGAGTTGGGAAACAGGTGAACTGTTTTGGGGAGAGGCTTTCTGTTTGGGATGTGTTCAATCCGGGAGGTCAATAATGCTTGGAAAAAAACTCAAAACCGTGTTGGATTTCACTCGTTTTAGTTACTGAACTTACTCAAAAATTGAGCTAAACGAAAAATAAATAGAGTTGACGGCAGTTTGCTTTTGGACACAATTTCTCAGGATTTCCAGAACTTGTATGCAGTCATTTGAACTTTCATCAGATCTATATCTCTAATTCCAATTAGCTACCTGGACTTCTTTTAGGTTCACACTGAACTGCTTGAAGTTCTCTGAGCATCTCTAAGGTACCCTATAATTATCTGAGGTTCTATGAGTTTATTGATTTTTTTTAAGGTTACCTGAAGTTATCTGAAGTTACCTGATTTCATCAAAGGTTTCTTTTTGAATTTATCTAAACTTAGGAGAAGTTTTTTCTGAAATTCTGCTCAACTCATCTCACAAACTCCATAGATTACAATATAGTTCATTACCGCTTCTCTGTTAAAATTTAGGATTTTTCTCTCAATTTCGCATGACTTCTCTGAAAGCTCACTAAACTTATCGAAGTGCTCTAAATATATTTCTGAAGTTGTTCTTATATATTCTCATAAAAACTCCTGAGATAATCTAGAACCTTCTGAAAAGAAGATGCTTCGTAGCTTGGAGAACTTTTGAGAGGTTCAGCAAACTACAGGATCTGCAAAGTTCCTCATTAACTATTATATTCATGCTAAGGTGGGTTGGATTGACGAATACATGGAGATTCTATATCTCTGAGATTTTCTAACTCCAATTAGGTACCCTGGTCTATTTTTTATGTTCACTGAACTGCTCGAAGTCCTCTGAGCATCCCTAAGGTATCCCAAACTTATCTGAGGTTCTATGAGTTTCTTGATTTTTTTTTAAAGGTTACCTGAAGCCTTCTGAAGTTACCTGATTTCATCAAAGGTTTCTAAAACATCGCAAAGATTTCCTTTTAAATTTATCTAAACTTAGGAGAAGTTTTTCTGACGTTCCGCTCAACTCATCTCACAAATTCCATAGACTACAATATAGTTCATTAGCGCTTATCTGTTAAAATTTAGGATCTTTCTCTCAATTTCGCTAGACTTCTCTGAAAGTTCACTAAACTTATCGAAGTTCTCTAAATATATTTCTGAAGTTGTTCTTATATTTCTCATAAAAACTCCTGAGATGATCTAGAACTTTCTGAAAAGGAGATGATTTGAAGCTTAGAGAACTGTTGAAAGGTTCAACGAACTACAGGACCTGGAAATTTCCTCATTAACTATTATATTCATGCTAAGGTGGGTTGGATTGACGAATACATGGAGATCCGATATCTTTTAATTCCTTTTTTTAGGTTCACTGAACTACTCGAAGCTCTCTGAGCATCTCTAAGGTACCCTAAACTTATCTGATATTGTATGAGCTTCTTGAATTTTTCTAAGGTTACCAGAAGTCTGAAGTTACCTGATTTCATGGAAATTTTCTAAAACTTCTCATATAACTTCTTCGAAGAACTTTTGGATTTATCTGAACTTAATCGCAGTTTTTCTGAAGTTCTGATTAAATCCTCTGAGGTTCCCTAGACTACAGTATAGTTCATTAGTGCTTCTCTGAATTCCACCTTCGTTAAAATTTAGGATTTTTCTCTCAATTTCGCTCGACTTCTCTGAAAGTTCACTAAACTTACCGATGTTATGTAAAAATCCCTGAAGTTGTTTAAATTTCTCTTAAAAACTCCTGAAATGATCAAGAACCTTCTGA